TTTTTGATGTTCAAAAAGAGGCCAGATTTTTTTGCTTTTTTTTTTTAGTAATCAGATGTTTCAGACCTACTTTGTTTTCTGAGAAGAAAGTTGTGTCATCAGCATGTCAACTATTGTTGATGTTCCTTCCTCCAATCCTCCAATCCAATTTTTGATTCTTCAGTTTCATCTTGATCACTTCAGAATATAGGTTGAAAAAGAAATATATTAAAAAATGCAACCTTGCCATACTCCTTTATCTTGAGCCAGTCAGTGTCACCATATGGTGTTTACACAGTGGCCTCCTGATTTGTGCACAGCGACTGCATCAGCCTGACCAGATGTATTGGCACTCCCAGCTCTCCACAGCTTGTCCTGATTGACAAAATTGAAGGCTTTCTTGTAGCCAATAGACTTTAATAGATGTAGCTATTCTTTTAATATTCTGGAGATTTTTTTCCGTGTTCTAATGTAGATTTTCAGTATGATCACAAGTGCTACAATCCCTTCTGAAGCCAGCTTGAACATGTTTATAAAGTGTTTGCTTATACCTTTATGTTATATTACATTAATGTAATTATTATATAATTATATATAATCACACACACATAATTATACAAATATAATTAATATAATATAGTATGCAGTATTAAAGAAAATGTTTTTGGAAATGAGGATAAAGCCTAAGGCAAGTTCTCTGGATTTATGGACCCTCTCTTTTTCTCATTTCAGTGTTTGAATTAGGCATCAAAAAAACCCTCAAGCTATTTGCTAGTATTGTGTAATTTAAGCAGTTATGCAGCTATACAGGTAGTCCTCAACTGTTATTTGAAATCAAGACACTCTAACGATGGTAATAAGTTACTTGAGGATAACAATATTTATAAAGTGAGTAAAAATGGAAATGTGTGCATTGTTTGGGAAATTGAGTCAAAAGAGATCCCTGGTATGTTTTTACTTTAAGAAATGTTTTTGTTCTTTTTATTTTGTTATGAAAAATATGGCATTAGTTCTCTGTATAAATAGTTGTGGTAAGGAAAAAAATAAAAATAGTTTGTCTGTCATTGCATAGTGCAGTCAGAAATTGAACTTAATATTTGGAATGTAAATCAGACTAACAGGAAATTCCAAACTGACTGGCATTTCATTCTTATTTAATACATGCATATAAACGTCCAATCCTTTTTCAGTTAATAACAGAAAAGAATTCTGTTCCTCTGAATCTTGAACATTTGGAACAAAGCAAACTGTTGCTAAAAAAAAAATACTCAAACAGATTTGCATGTACAATTGGCTAACTACAATCCCCAGTACTATATTGTTAATTGAAAGATAAGTAATACAGTTTAGCTAGCCATTGTACAGATAGTCCTTAACTTATGACTACAATTGAGCCCAAAATGTATGTTGCTGAAACATTTATTAAGTGAATTTTACCACATTTTACGACCTTTCTTACATTTGTTAATTGAATCATTGGAGTTGTTAAGTTAATAATATGGTTAAGTGAACATGGATTTCCCCATTGACTTTGCTTGTCAGAAGGTTGCAAAAGATGATCACATGATCCCAGGGCACTGCAACCATCATAAGTATGAACCAAGCAGCCGAACCTAAGGATGTTGCAACAGTTGTAAGTATGAAAAATGGTCAAAAGTAACTCTTTGTAATGTGGTTGTAACTTCAAACACTAAATGAATGGTTGTAAGTTGAGGACTACCTGTAAAAAAGTTGTGAAATAGTGGTATAATAACCTTTTGTGTCACCTTTTGCAACCTTCTGACAAGCAAAGTCAGCGGGGAAGCCAGATTCACTCAACTGGACTCAACTGTGCTCATACATCGAGGACTACTTGTACTGGGACATAAATATCTGCTTTAAGGTTTTGTGCAGTATCAGTCATATGTCCAACTTTTTACCACAGTAACATTGGTTCCCTTTGTATATTAAAAGTATATCTCATGGGCTTTTTTATGCATTTCAAATTAAGAATGAGTAGTTAGTTTGAAATGACTATCAACACTGTAGAACTACCAACAACTCATAACAAGATGTCCTAACACATAGGTAGGTATAAAAGAAAAGATGTTAGGAAGCTGACATAGATTTAAAAGCAATCAGCAGTGCATGAAGTGATTCTACAAGTCTCAACATTAAATTGTGAGGTTGCATCTGGTATGTTCCAGAGGAAACCAAATGAAATATGACCGCATATGAACAATAAATATGAAGTATTTATTGTCCACAAAATTTTGATCCAGACCATCTGGATCAAGATTTTGTGGACTTACACCTATAAAACTCATTCTTATATTGCTACATTTTTCTTAAATTAAGAAAAATTAACTAACATGCTATTTCTTTTATCACTGTCATCATGCAGTGTAATCAGTATTCTGTATATAACAACATTCAGTATCATAACTATTTGAAAGTAGAGGGGTATTTCCAGAGTATGTGGATTTCTGCTTATGTAGGGAATTTCCTTTCCTACCTTCCCTGTCTGCTCAGATATACTCTGCTAAATTTCCAAACCACTAGATTATTTTTTGAAAGAGAAAGAGAATCCATTCTTTTACCAGATTCCACTCTTCTGATGGATGGATAATATTGGACACTACTGATAAATGAGCTTCCCTGATAGTAGTTGAAGAGGGTCTATGACAATTCGCCGTGGCCAACTCACCATGGCCAACTCACCATGGCTAGCTCACTACAGCTAACTCACCACAGCCAACTTGTCGTGCAACTCATGGTGGGACAACTTTCTGTGGGACAAGACTTACACTAATATAAAAAAAATGGTGGAATAGAAACTTTAAAGAAAGGATGCAAAAGGAGGGACAGTATGACCTTTGGAATCAACTCCCTCTGGAGTTCCGGGTGGCCCCCGACCTTCGCTCTTTCCGCCATGGGCTGAAAACTTGGCTATTTCACCTGGCCGCCTTGGACTGATGGGGGTTTTAATCTGGGTTTTATTGAATTTCTTAATTTTAACTTGGACTTTTTGTTTTAATGGTTGGTTTGTTCTGTTTTAATTGTTGTGAGCCACCCTGAGTCCTGTGGAGATAGGGCGGCATACAAATCCCACTAAATAAATAAATAAATAAATAAATAAATGGCAAAAATTAAAATTTTTATTTATTTTTATTTATTTTAAATAATTGAATTGTTAAATTGTCCTGCGAGTTGTCCCATGGTGAGTTGGCCATGGTGAGTTGGCCCATTCCAGTTGAGGATGTATTTTCCATCTGTTTCTCAGAGGACCTGTTGACATTGAGCAGCTTTGTGAAGCCCAAGAGATTACAAGCTAGAGATGTACATAATATTTTGGTCTCAAAACAGCTGTTTTGAGTGTTCTGGACAAAACATAAGGCGCATTTTTAGAGTTATGAAGATGGAATAAAATAAATTGCCATTTTGAACAAGAAACATTTATCTGGTTTGAGCAGTAGAAATCAATCTCTTTGTACATATGTTGTGCAATGACAATAAAGGTTTGATTGATTGATTGATTGTGTTTCCAAAATCCTGAATGGATTGTTGTTTATGATTGAACTGCTTTCAGGCATGTTCCTCTTGCTATTAGCTTAGACTACTTAGAGAAATACAGGAATAACATGAAAAGAAAAGAAACAGTTAAGCAAATTAAAATATGCCTTGTATTTGTGATGAAATCATCCTGTCAGATATACTTTTGCTTTGCTAATGGCTGAAATAAAATGAAAATTCAGATTACCAATTTCATAGTAAACAAAACAAAATATTTTATTACAATGTACATAAAGTAGAAATTTATTTACAGCAAACCAGCAAACAAATAGGCATGTACTGTAATTAAAAATAGCAGGAAACTGGTATACTGCTATGTTTAATAGAATATTCAGCCATTAAAAAGTAAGATTACACTTATATGTGCATAATTAGAGTGAATTCTTAAATAATGGTATGCAGAGAAGCAGGACTCAAATATTCACAATAAACATGAATATGAGCTATCCTGCACCCTTTTCTATTCTATTTATATCCTGTTTAAAATATTCAGCAATATTTTTACTACTTATTTGTTTCCTTAATTAACTTCCAAAAATTCTGTTTTGTACATTGACAATTGTAAATTTGAATGTTATAGTCTTCAAAAAATGGAAAGTTTGCATTGATTAAAATAAATGTTATCGTAATTATGTTTATGAACTATATTTTCAGACGTGCAGAAGATCAACGAACTGGAGTTTATCAGTTATTTAAATCAGGAATTTTAAAGTCAACAACAAAAACATCAAGTTTTTCATTTGTACTTTATTTACTAAATTGTACAGTTGTACAAATTGAATTTTTTTTAGAACATAATAACTTTAGGATAATTGAAAAATGTAACTTTTAATGCAGCACTATTCATCTCCAAAACCATTATGATTTACAGATTCTTTTTCTATACAAATGCAATAGGATAAGTAAGTGTGATATTGTTTTTCCTTTTGAATAAGCCATAATCAAAGATCTATTGAAAATTCTGATTTAACATTTTTAAATGTTTAAAAATACTGATGTTTAAGAGAATTTGGACAAAATGGGGATCTCCAGTTCCTTTATCCATCCAGTCTTTATCCCAAAGGTGCTCTTTTTTCAAGAGGCAACTGGACTTTCTTGTTTTTCTTTGAAGACATTTCGCTTCTCATCCAAGAAGCTCAGAGCTCAGAGCTGAAGAAGTTTCTTGGATGAGAAGCAAAATGTCTTCAAAGAAAAACCAGAAAGTCCAGTTGCCTCTTGAAAAAAAGCACCTTTGCGACAACAGTGACCTGGATGACTGAGAATCTCCTTAGACATCCAATCTTTAGCAATTGCACATCGAATTTATTGATAACAGGTATTTTTAAACACAAAATATGGATTTTTTGTCTAATGGCATTAAGTGTTCACTTCTAATAATTCATGTCTCTGAACCTGAAATTACACTGATTGAAATAAATATATCAATAAATGTATTTTTCTTACTTGTTTTTTTCCCTTCTTTTTAACAGATGAATTACAAATGAAACTTTTGCTCAGTTTTCCCAGATTTCTACAGCAAGATGTTTACTGCAAATACCGCAAACTGGGTTACTTTTGAAGATGAATCCCAGTCTCCTCAGAGAGCAAGAGAAAATGATAACGTTTGCAGACCAAATGGGCTTAAACTCACACTGCCTAAAATGCAAGATTTTTCAAACCAATTGTCCTCCATCACCTGCACTTCTCTCTCATCTCCTATAAGTGACTACTACTATAGCCCTGATCCCCCCAGTAATTCTCCACTCTGTACACCCACCAGAGACTATCCTATCAGTCCTTGCTTTCCCAAATCAGGAACTCATTTTCTTAGTCCTATTCCAGAATTGTCATCTAACGTTAATCATCTCCCACTGATTGAACCACCTTCTCAAAAAATGATTGGAATATCTCAGCCTGTGCACAGTTCAGAATTTTCTACTCTGAAACCAATACATGGTGCACAAGTTATGCATCAGGAAAACTCAAAGAAATCGGAAAATTCCTTAGATTCACAAGCCTTTTTTCAGAATGTTTCTAGTGAGTCTGCTTTCTCCAATCCATTTTGGTCAGAAGGTTCATCTACTGTGTCTTTGCCAAGCTTTCATGGACATGGAAAAGAGTCAGATTTTGAAAGAGATTTTTCTTTTAAAGGAAAGAAAAGCTGGCCAGATCAGAAAAGCTTAAACCAGGGTTCATTCAATTATATATGTGAGAAACTTGAACACTTGAAAACAGAAACTTCAAACACTGAAAGAGCTTTGAGACCAGTTCCATGTGTGTGCACTAGAGTTGGCCTTTCTTCATTTATTCCGAGCAGTCTCTTTAGCAGCCAGAGAAAAGATGGCTGGCCTTTCATGCTGAGGATTCCTGAAAAGAAAAATATGATGTCATCAAGGCAGTGGGGTCCTATTTACCTCAGAGTTTTACCAGGAGGAATCCTACAAATGTATTATGAAAAAGGTCTTGAAAATCCTTTCAAAGTATTCCAGCTGCAACCATTTTGCAGGCTTTCAGAACCAAAGTTAGAGAACTGCAACATCTCTGGGAAAATCCATACGGTGAAAATTGAATATGTGACATATACAGAGAAAAAGAAGTATCCTAAAACCGAAGTGGTTCATGAAGCAGAGATTGAACAGATGCTGAAATTAGGAACAACTGATTACGGTGACTTCACTGATTTCCTAATGATAGTTGAGGAAGAGTTAATGAAGCTTCCTGCTATTTCAAAACCAAAGAGACATTATGAAGAACAAGAAATGATCTTGGAAATAGTGGATAATTTTTGGGGGACAATTAGTAAAGCAGAAGACAGGTTATCTAAAACTGCTGTCATAACTCATATTTATTCATTAAACTTTTTGAATGGTAATTCTGAGTGCTTTATGACACTAAATGACTTGGAGCTTCAAAAGAGGGATGAACATTATTTTGAGTCAGACAATAAGAAAAATTGGATCAAAATTAATGACTACCACTTTCATCAATGTGTGAAGAAACAAGAATTTGAGCAATCAAGAATAATTAAATTTATACCACCAGATGGCTGTAGAGTAGAACTAATGCGTTATAGGACACAATATAATGGATCGGATCTTCCATTTTCTGTCAAAGCCTTGTTAATCGTTCAAGGAGCTTATGTCGAACTGCAAGCTTTCATAAACATGTCTTCAGCATATTCATACCCTACAAAACACTGTGAGAATGTAATGGTTCACTTTCCTGTTCCCTCACAATGGAACAAAACTCTTTGGACTATGAACCTCCAAAGACAGAGATCCCTGAAAGCAAAAATGAACAGAAGAACTTGCCTTGGCTCTTTAAATGAGCTTGAATCGGACTCCGCTATTCATGTCTCAATTGGAACAGCCAAGTATGAAAGTGCCTATAGAGCTATTGTGTGGAAAATTGACAGACTACCAGATAAAAACTCAAGTAAATGATTTTTATAAAATTAGTTTATTATATAAATGCTGAAAAGGAATTGAATTATTTCAGTAGTTTATTAATATGACAGAAATAAGATATTAGTGGAAGTATTTATTTATTATTTATTTATTTATTTATTTATTTATTTGATTTGATTTGTATGCCACCCTTCTCCCAAAGGACTCAGGGCGGCTCACAACAATAAGAAACAGAAAATACAAAAGTTAAAATTAATGGTCAAGTAAATAAAATAGATGATATAGTGAAAGACCATGCCTATTTAATTCTGGCTAGCATATTTCCATTACTATTAGTATGACAATATATAGTAGGTACCATTTTAGTGTAAGTAAGGCTATGATTTGAATGTATATAATTGCTTCTGCTTGTTTCATCTCAAATTCTGAACTATTCTATTCACCTATGCAAAATATAGAACTTGCCAAATCACAACCTTGTATACTTTATAAAAGCGATGTTGATTGACAAACTTGTTTTATACATTTCTTCTTAAAGGGCCCTAAAGTTACGTTACAATGTGTCCTTTGGGGAAATCTTTTATTGTATTCATATTTTCAGAGTTGGGTCCAAGTACACTTCTCCCCATGGTGGTTACAAGTATATTTTCTAAATACAGTGGCTTAAATATGCATTAGCCTTGAAAAATATGCATAGAATAGAATAGCATAGAATATAATAGAATAACAAGTTCCACTAGAAAATGTTCTCTCTTGTTGAGGTAGCTATATACATTTGAAATCTTATCAGATGATAGCTGCATTTACTGTATGTCTTCAAATATATGCAAAAGAATGAACAGTTTTATGTTTAGCTTAATGTAAGATGATAATTCTGTATCTTGAAGTGGAAATGCAGCAAAGATATTTTCCAACTAGTATTTTGAACTATTTTTGAACAGAAAATATATTGAATATACTGTTATTTCCAGAATTAATACTTTGATATCAAGTATTTGGTATGCTGGGCTCTTCTATGTTTGTTATGATTGCCCAACAAACTTGAATTCTATCTGCTAGTGTTATATTATGTTTTGGCTAAAAAATGGTACAGATCAAATTTTAAGACTGGAGCAAATATTCCAGAGGACTCCCATTTAGTGGCCCTTCATTATTGTTATTTCCTGTCAAACTACTTAACTATTCCATAGAATTGCATTACCCAGTCCTTCCAAAAACTTCAATGGCTTGATTGTTCTCTCAGCAAGCTGTCTTTGTAGAGCGTTGCTATAATATTTTCCCTCTTTCTTTCCAAGATCCAGATCATCTGCACAGTTTGTCTTTCAAACTAGAACTTGGCTCAGATCAAGAAATCCCTTCTGACTGGTGTCCTTTTGCTGTGGTGCAGTTCGTTGTGTCTGATGCATGCGCCTCAGGAACTGAAGTGAAATCATGGGGAATTGATAGGGATGTACAGCCTCAGAAACATGTGATTCAGAAAGCATGTTATAATTGCCAGGTAATGTCTTTCTGTTCCTGCTTAATCAAATGCCAAACCACAATTACCATAATCAAATTTATTTCATTGTATGTCTTTTGCTAAGACATGCATCTGATCATGTAACTACTATTCTGTGAAACCTTATCCAGTACCAGCATAATGCTTGTGTTTGGATGATATATAAAATGTAGTCAGTGCATCCTGTTGTATCAACTGCCTTAATTCTTCAGCTGCACAAACCTTTCCAGTGGTTGTCTCTGTCTTTAAACTTCCCATATCATCTACCAGAGCAATTGGCTTATCACATGAGCTGCCCACAACTTTTTATTATGCCATCCAGAAAAAATAAACGTGAAACTAGTCATGATTTAAGACTTGCCTCTCTGCTTACTGTGGGTCATGACTGAGACAAGACAATATGTATTAAACAAGTTAGTGGTAACTATTGTAGATTCATATAGAATGGCAGGAAACAGCCAGTTGGCATGATCATGCACATAGACTAATATAAGCTTTGCTTTATGTGTGCCTTTACTTTTTAAATTATAGCAAGCAAAGATGTCTCTTCTTCTAAACAAGCCTCAAAACCCTTGTTCTCTCTATATCATGGCACAAAAGATTATGTCAGTGGGCTCATTAAACTAACATGACACTTCTACAGCTCAGAAAACTCCATTTTTATTTTTCTGTAAGTTTTAGATTTAATAATATTGTTCTGTGATTGCTTTCAAAACTCATTACAACATTTTTATCCTAAATATTTACTGTAAGCAGGGCTTATTTATAATATAGGCAATTTATTGATTGTGTAAAACAGGTGAAGTGGACCATGCAAATTTCTGCTGGTGTTACATTGGATGGATAGTATTATTATTATTTTACTACTATTTATATTTTTAATGAGATGGGATGGTCTTAAGTCAGCAACATGTTTTATTCTGTATATCTCCCATGTTCTCTCTCTCTCTTTTTTTTGGCTTTAATTTATATGCCACCCTTCTCCGGAGACTCAGGGCGGCTTACAATGCGTTAATTATTCTTAATATTCCATTTATATTTTATTTTAATAAAAAGGTTATTATTAGATAGGAATGTCACTAATAATATAAGCATTTCTTAATCCCATTTCTTTTGCTTTCATGCTACAGGTTGAAATTGAGAAGAAATGGATTAGACTTGAGGGAGAAGATCCCAATAAGAGTGGAGAATGTGACATACAGTAGAAGAGAGAAGTAATCTGGATTCCTTTTGAGGTTGTGAGAAATATTTTAATGTAAGCAGAATAATTTAAATGCAGTAAAGCAATGGATTTCAGTATATAATTTTCAAATTGTCATGTAAAAAGTTTAGGTACATAATTTGCTTTCTAAACATTTAATATATTAACTATAACATCATAAAGGTAAATACTATAAGTTGGTTCTGTTTCAGAGTTTGTAGGGAAACAAACTGAACACAGTTATAGCTTGCAACTCCCTAAGACAGACTTACCTTTTCCTGAGGTAATACAACTATGCACTGCAACTGCCATGAAATTGCTGGGAAAATATATTTGGGTTAACAAATGGCAGTAAATTCTATTTGTACTTTTATATATTCCTAAACAACCTTCTGCCTTTCAACCCAAAATGATTATTGAAAATAATCATATTTTATATGACTTCAAAGTCAGCTGATCACAAATCTTTTTCATGTTAGCATCCAAATGTTTCATCTTCTGATGTTGTTTAGAATTATAAGACATAGATAAAATCTGTCTGTATAATCCTGTTTATTCTTTCAACTTTCACTAAAAAAAAATATGCAGGCCCAGCTACATTTTTTGGTGGATTCAGTGATGAGCTTAGAAGTTTTACTGTAAATTGAACCTTTTACATTGTAAGTACTTCAATATGTTCTTTTGCTACCTAAAAGTACATGTGTGGGAAATGATTTACTAGAATATAACAGATATTTTTCAGGGTAATGCTGTTGGCAAAAATAGAGCTCTAATCTGTTGCTTCCTTCCAAAGTTGTTAATATAGGGGAAGCACTGCAATAATTTGAACTATTCCCTTCCTTTGGGCTTTTGGTGAAAATGGTTTTGCTTTGCAATATTTTGCCATTGGTTAAAAATTATTTTGAATCTCCAACAAGAACATATATTAGATTGGAGAAAAAAGGCTGAAGAACAAGGTGTCTCATATGAACATGAAAAGCAAAAGGTTCATTTGTTCTGCCAGATGAGCTAGAGTTTACTTAAGGAGTGTGGAGTGGATGGCACTTGACTATAAGAGAAAACAGCTATACCTAATATGATCAGCTTACCCTTTGGACTATTTTGAATTTATTTTTAAAATTTATTATTTAGATATATTTGGATTTTTGGGAAGAGGACTCATCACTGTTTTCAATCTTGAGGTATATATACTGAATATTTAGGAAGCTAAGAAGTGTCAGTTTTAATTTATATTGCTTGCATTCTGATGAATTTTAACTGTTCCACATGTTATTTTTGTTTCATGTAACTCTTTTTGGAATAAAACTGTAACAACACATTTCATTTCACATAACATGTTTATTCTTGCTAGAGATACTAAATACAGGGAATATTATTTAAAATTAAATTGAGCTCAGTTAATTTGTATTGCATTTCTTATATTGTATTTCCAGTTCAACATGTCATGGAATTTAATATTAAGATACTTAATAAGTAAGATTCAAAATTTAAAAGACTCAAAAGGAGGAGGTGGATTTGAATTATCAAGTGAGCTGTTCATTGTGGATAACAGAATAGATAAAATCCTTAAACAGCAGAATATCAATTGTAGTAGGAACTGTTTTAATCAATAGATTTCATAGATATTTAGGGTGTGAAGAAACAAGAGAAGTATGTGAAGAAACATATGATAAGGCAAAGTTTGTTAAAAATATGGAAACATCTAAAATCAAGGATATGTTTGGTAATTTCACCATTAGCATTATTGTCCGATGCCTTTTACTTTGAAGACAACTACAGTAAGAAGGATTTAATCACATATGCTAATATGTTGTACTCAGATTTGGAAAACAGACTAAAGCCACAGTAAGAACTGTTCTGTGAAAATAAGCATTCACAAAGGTTGATTGCTGGAAGAATAAAAGTTGATCTCAAGAAAGGAAGGACTTTGAGAAAAAGGGCAGAATTTAGGATACTTTAACATAATCAAGACAATCTATTAGGGGATATATTCTTATCGAAATATGACATGGAGACAAAACAAATTAACAATTGTATGATAAAGTGGATGCAAACTTCAAAGAAGTAATCATACTAGAATAATGGGCTTATGGGCAAAAGAAATCAATAACATTTACTCTAAGCTATGATTTGGAGGAAAATTGGTATGGTGTACTTCATCAATGGTTCCCAAATTCAACAGAAATTATACAATCACAAATATTGGAAATGTTACAACAAAGAAGGAACATTTTATCTACACATTTAGTCATGCTAATTCAAAAGTACTGGAAGGAAATGCACTAAAATATTGATATTGTGTGTGTGTGTATGTGTATACATACACACTTTTCTGTAGGAACAATCCATTTATGCCAGTGGTTTTTCTGCTGTGGAAGGAATAATCCTTTTAAAATGTATATATGTATTATTTATGTATTAAAATTACATAAAATTAGTATGTACACAATGTAAATATACATAGAGTATTTCTGACGCTGAATAGGTGTGTTGAGCAGAGAAATGTCTTTTAGCTCTAATGCTTGTTCCATTTAGATTTTTTGGTGAAAGAGAATTATGTTGTTTTTTTTAAAGTAAGAACACACTGTTAATCACAAAAGCAACACTTTTTATGTAAATGAGTATGCACAGATCTAATTCTGTTTTCCCACAGTGCAGAAAAGTATTCTTGGGATTGTTCTTCCCATGTACTCTGATAAAAGCAACAATTGTACCAAATACACTTATTGGAGGAGGAAGCCTTCTTCTGTTCCTCTTCTGCCTAACTGTGGTGGCCATACTAAGACAGCAGCTCTACTATCTAGTACTGTATGTAGATATCCAGATGAAGAGAACAGAACACAAGGAATTTAGTCTATCATGATTCTTGGATGCCTCAGAAGATCACTCCAGAAAGGTCTGTGAGACTTGTACAATATAAGCCCCAAAGGGAAGGTCCTTCCAGATGGGTGCTCCCCTCATTTCTGAAGGAGTAGTCTACTGCAGAACAGTGGACTACACCAAAGGAACATGTAGTTCATGCATTGACCTTGTTTCCACATATTATTTCAGGGAACCAACCATTCCATTAGTGAAGACAGAACCTTATTTGGGCAGGCTGTCATCATATTAATTTTTGCAGTTGAATTACATGAATAAGGCTACCTAGGCTTGATTCATGCTCTTTTCAGCTCCCTGTAAGAGGGGAAGTTTCCTCAGTCATGGATTTTCCCCTGTTGCCTTCACTTCTTTGCTCCCTTCACTGTCTCTGGCTGTCTATTATTGATAAAAACAATCTTGGCTGATGACCATTCAAATAAGAGATCAGGGCTCAAGGAGGGCCCTTTCTACATTGATTTCTTTGCTGATTTCTTTTGACATTGATTTCTTTAGCAGTCTCCTCGTTTCCAGGCTGCTCTGAAACCTCATAGCCACCTTTATCTTCAGAAAAGAGTAAAAGAAAACTTAGTCAATGAGAATAGCTCTCCCCCAAGCATCTTATGTGTATAGAAACTTCTAGCTGAAATAATAAAATATTGATTCCAAATTTAAAGGTGCAGTACATTTGAGATCATTCAACAAGACAAGTTATTCTATGATATGCTATTTGAGGAAATTTAAGTGGAAACCAAAGACAAGGAAAAGGCCTTACCAGTTGTCCTGGGATTTCAAATGCTTCAAGAGCTTCTTCTCATGCATCTGTTCAGCTGTTAAACCTCTTCCCAGATCTCAAGAGAACAAGATCATTTTGGGATGAATCAACATCAGCCTCAGGTCAAATCTTTCCATAGTTTTTTCCACAAAGGAGGTAAAAATATTAAAAGATTCTAAATTATTCATGTGGGACTTACACTGTAGATACCCATCAGATTTTGGAGTCAAATAATAAATGTATGTGTTCTCAGAGGTGCATAATAGATTATGTTCAAATTCCTCATTATTTTGTATAAACTCTCAGGCCTTGCTGCTCACAGAAGAATGGTTTGATGCTGAAAGTCTTATCAACATTTGAGCTATAGATCAGATGTGGTTTGGTACTTACTGAATATTCGTTATAGTTAAAAAAGGAATAACTGGAGGACAGTTCATGTGAAAAGGTAAACTAGTGTATACTACTGCAAGTTCTGTATGGAATCATTCATACATCAACTTCCCTGAATAGGTGAGAATATCTGTGTGTTCCACAACTAATTACCACAGGACATACTCAGAATTTATTGTAAGATGGCTCATTTCCAACACTCAGCCCTCCCTCTCAATCTTCCAGTTTCTTCAGGAAACCTAATGAGTTCCTCCTGAGCCTAATAGTGAGAAAGAATGGTCTCTGATATCATTGGTCTACAAATTTTGGGAAATTATCTACCTCTGAGATAAAATGTATTAATTTTACATATTTTGATTTGATGAATTAGAAAATAGGTGATGAAGGTGCTGGTTGGCTAAAGTTTTCAAGATACACAATAAAGATTTATATACGGGGGAGTATATTTGCCTATAAGGGAGGGAGGTGTCTAATGATCATGATGCCTTGAAACTTCTCAACAAAGTACGGTAGAACAATGAAAATGGTACCACATAGAAGTGTATAAATTTTTCTTTTTATCTCCCCAGGGATGATCCTGCTGCACTTTACAAGAGAAAAGCCAAAAAGCGCAGTGTAGATACCGAATAAAGATGGAATCTTGTCACTTAATCTGATGTTAGAGCTTATCAATTTTTCATGCAAAAACTGACTTTATAATGATTAGTGTGGCACCATTCTTATTGCTTAATCACATTTGGCAGAAAAATTATGGAACATAATCACACATCCCCCTCATAATTTTGAATTATTTTGATGCAATTTTGACCTGAAGCTATATCTTGGAAACTGGAGCCAATTAATACTCAGGACTTAATTTTCCTTTATTAGTGACCCAATTCTGGTAAAATTAAGCTACTTTCATTTCCGAGGTTTCTCCTTGTAGACCAATGTATTTGGACAACCTCTTAATGCAATAATCTCTAGTTGGGAGAGACATAATTTTGGTCAACCTAAATAAATAATAAAATATAGCGTACCATTTTCTACATACGGGGTATGGTTTGTATACTTGTATATGCTGTTCAATATGTGTTCATCTCAGTGCTGCTGTCCAAATTATTTGACAGGGATTGATAATCAGGACTGATATAGTTTCTTGGACAAAGTTTCACCTTTGAGATCTGCAGTAGACTTGCTACCATACTAACCATATCTTGTTCAGAAATTCCTACAAATTTCAAACAGTTTCTTCTCTGGAGATGTCTGCCAATATTCAAGGAAGGCAAACCAAAGTGGCATTCTTATGTTCTAGAGACAACAGATGGAAGGAATTTCAGGATCTGAAAAGCAGATCGCAATAACAAGATGACTCAGAGCCTCTTATCTTTCTGGGAATTCAAATACGATACATATTTTGAAGAACAGTGATTGGTCAAGCTGTCATCAGCCTTTTTCAAAATCAGCACATTCTCAACTTGACTTGCAGTAACAGCAATGCTTCAAAATAGAACAAAATGTTATTTTTCCATGAGACAAGTACTGGGTAAGCATCCTTCCAGTGTAACTTAAGCCAACGTTACCTTCTCCTTAAAACCATTCAAGGCCTCACAACAGGCTGAGTTGAATAAACCTGTAAGTAGGAAAAAGGTTCCTTTCATCAGAGAATATTTGTCAAATATTTTGGCTTGCCTGTTACCAGTTTGGCTTTCACTTCAAGAGAAATTGTTGACACTTTATTTTTGTTTTCCCACTGAAGACATGGAAACAGCAGATGTTTTAAATTACCTGATGGCATTGAGATCTCTTATACATAATCCTACTGAATCCTCTGATTACCCAGGTGCTATCTACAGCAATATTGTAAGAAACAAAATACCTTTGGCACATGACTTTGTGGGCCTTTGTTTAAGATCTGAAACAATTATCAATCAGTTCACTGCTGGGTCTTTCTGTAGCCCTAAACATTTTTCCAAAGAGGTCTTTTCAAGATTTAGATCTGAATTGGTTATAGCTTACCATGTTAAAATATGAAGAAAAGGAAATATCTATCTTTGGATTCCTAAAGCCAGTATATTAACTGCACATTAACTGCACATATAAAATATTATGCTGCATTTTTTAGAGTTCTGATTGGACAAGTGTTTTGGATCCAACATATCTACCGTAAAAGATATGTTTTTAATACTGTTTACCAAATCATTATTTTTGTCCTTTAAACTTTCATGTGGATATTCTCCAAGCTCTTCCCTTTTGTGGCTTATTATTTTAGCCAGAAGAACATTGAAGCTGACATTAGCAACTTGGTCCACACCAGA